ACCTCGAATTCTGGCGCACTGCACAAGACCTCACCCGCCGACAAGCCCGATGGGCCCTCTATCTGTCACGGTTTGACTTTCATATGATCCACCGCCCTGGCAGAGTAAACACCCAAGCTGATGCTCTCTCCCGCATGGCAGTTCATCATGTATCGGACAGCGATGATAACCGACAACAGACAGTCCTTAAACCTGGCCACTTCGTACAAATTGCAGCTTCGATCCTACAGAACCCCTTAGAGGATCGTATCCGGAAAGCCTCAGAACGGGAGGCACAGGTATTGGAGGGTCTCAAAACAGTCAAAGAGCACGGACTACAGCGCTTGGCCAATGGGATAGCCGAATGGGAAGAAGACAATGGGTTGGTCTACTACCGAGGTCGAGTATACGTACCAGCAAACGACGACCTACGCACTGAGGTACTCCGTCAATGCCACGACCATCCAACTGCAGGACACCCCGGACTACACGGGACACTCGACTTGGTCAGTACCCATTTCTGGTGGCCTACGTTGCGCTCTTTTGTGGAGAAATACGTTGAGGGATGCGAGGTTTGTGCCTGTAAGAAGATCCAGCGACACCCATGGGCCGTAACTCAACCATTAGATGTACCATCCGGTCTATGGGAAGAGGTAGGGGTTGACCTGATAACACAGCTACCTAACTCCCAAGGCTACGATGCTGTCTTGGTTTGCACAGACCTGTATGGAAAACAAATTCACGCTATTCCTTGCACCAGCTCCATCACAGCTGAAGGCGTTGCCGATATTTACTACCGAGAAATCTTCCGTCTCCATGGTCTTCCTCTTCACTTTAAATCCGACCGTGGACCCCAGTTTGCAGCTAAACTCATGCGATCCCTTCTCGCTAGGCTAGGAATTAAATCAGATCTAACCTCCGGATACTGTCCTCAGTCTAATGGCCAAACCGAACGAGCAAATCAGGAAGTAGAGAAATACATCTGCCTCTATGTAGGACAACGACAAGACGACTGGGCAGAGCACCTTCCCATGGCGGAGTTTGTGATTAACTCACGGACTCATTCTGCGCTAGGCATGTCCCCGTTCGAGCTAACCTACGGCTATCTTCCCCTGTTCAATATCCCAGTGGGCCAACGCAGCGGTATTCCAGCTGTGGATGACCGTATACGGATTCTCCGATTCTCCGAGAAGCGCGACAAGATGCCGGAGCTGCCTTACACCTAGGAAAGAAACAACAGAAGGAGGGATACGAACGCGGGAAGCGGAAAGCTCATCAATTTAAAGTTGGAGACCTAGCCTGGCTCAGTACAGAGGACATTAACCTCCAGCTTTCCAGTGAAAAGTTAGGAGATCGACAGCTTGGCCCTTATCACATTCTGGAGAAAATTGGCCCTTTAGACTACCGCCTTGACCTTCCCCTATCCTTAGATCGCCTCCATCCCGTCTTCCATGTTGATAAACTATACCCCTGGAAAGGTAACTCCATTAATGGTGAAATACCAACACCACCAGAGCCGGTATACTTAGAGGATGAAGACGAACCGGAATACGAAGTAGAGGAGATCTTAGACAGCCGGGTTCGATGGAAGAAGTTGGAATATTTGGTTAAGTGGAAAGGTTACGACGCAGGGCACAACTCTTGGGAACCCGCAGCCAACCTCAGTCGAGCACCAAAAATTGTTCGGGCCTTTCATAAAAAACACCCAACGGCGGCAAAGCCTTGACCATCGAGGGCAATGGTCATAAGGAGGGGGGTAATGTCATAAAGTACGCAGCCCCTATCATTTTCCTTTTCTCACCGTCTCGACGCCTTTACTTGTACGATACATCATCCCATCACTGTCAAACCCCCATCGATTACTGATCCACCTGACCCATCTTCTCCTTCTATTGGCTTCCGCCACCTTCCTTGTTCCTAAACTGTACAGTATTACATCGTTGTTTCTCGCAGACCGGATTATGTATATATAGCCAACCCTCCACAGCCTGGTCCCTTATCTTGACCTCTCTGTCATTATCTGGGACCAGGTATGTGCTTACTTATTATTACCTATGACTACGATACTCAATATATCTCTGTCATTATCTGGGACCAGCCTGCTGCCGTTCTGCTTAGTCGCTCCGCCTTGTTGCCTTGTCCAGTTGCTCCGCCTCACCGTTCTGCTTAGTCGCTCCGCTTTCCCGCTCCGTTAGTCACTCCGCCTCTGCCGCTTCGTGACATGAAGCACCTGGAGCAGGTAAAGAACACTTGCCAGGCATGGGACTGAAACCAAAAGGGTACTCTGACTCTGACCATGCCGGATGTGTGGACACCTGCAGGTCCACATCGGGCTACATCTTCTTTATGGTCAGGGCACCCATCTCCTGGAGTTCTAAATGCCAACCCAAACCTGTGCTATCGTCTACGGAGGCTGAATACATCACCCTGTCCCGGGCCTGCCAGCAGGCAGTCTGGCTACAATCCTTCCTTGCGGAAGCTGACCTGAACCAGCAAGGACCTGTGACACTACTGGGCAACAACTTTGGATCCATTAGCCTGATTGAGAACTCCAAGCGACATGCTCTAGTGAAGCACATCAATCTACGGGACCACTACATCAGGGAGAAGGTAGCTAGCGGGGCAGTGAAGGTCTCAGAAATCCAAACAGGTATGAACATCGCAGATGTATTTACTAAAGCCCTCAGCGGGCCAATCCATGCAAAGATGGTTGGACTACTAGGACTGTATTGTGCAGAGCAGGGGGGTGTTAGATTCCACCTCCGCCCAGCGTATGCACAGTCCTCAGCTTTGACCACTTATTTTGCTTCTGCCCAATTACATATACACTGTACAGTTTATCAGCCACACCAGCAGATGGCGGATGGGGCTCCCTCAGTTATTTTACATCTAACTGAGGTGAGCCCCATATTACTTAGCCTTACATACTATACTAATATACACTACTTGACATATACCTCAAATTCATTGTTGCCTCATTGCTCTCATTACTGCAAAGTCCAGAAAATAATATTCTCATTACTCCCCAAGTCCAAAAAATGATTACTCTATAGCTCATACTCATTACTTCTATTATTCCATAGCATAAAGTCAGTTACTCTCATTGTTCCACAAGTCAATTATTCTCATTGCTCCAAAGTCAAGAAATATTCACTCTATACCTTACATTCATTATTCCTTGATTGCTTTCATTGCTCCCCAAGTCAAACAAACAATTACTCTATGCCTCACATTCATTACTCCTATTATTCCATAGCATACATCATTCCACAAGTGATTAAAATAATTGCTCTATACCTTGCATTCATTACTCCTATTATTCTGCAGTATGATATTGATCACTCTCATTTCTCCACAGTCTGTGTTTGTTTTGCCTATTATTCTATAGCAAGAAGTCAGTTACTTTCATTGTTCCACAAGTGAATTATTCTTATTAGCATTACTCCCTTGCTTGATAGTGTTACTTATAATTTCATAAGTGTATTGTTAGTTTTGAATATTATTTTCCTAAGTTTTACATTTTCACACCAGTCATAACCAATTCTTATCCAATACCCACCTGTCACAGTCACAACATAATTATTCACTGTCTTTTTCATTATCTGCTGCTACTTAATCAAATCTTATCTTATGTAGTATTTACTCACTATTCAATTGTAATTCCATAAGTTTTGACTAACTCTCAACTAAATATTTCATAAGTCCACAATAAGAAATCTAACTTACATTATGCTTATTGTTCACCCATTTTCATAAGTTTTCTTTTTCTATTATCAAAGTTCACCCTTTCCTATCTAAATCTTATCCTATTGTCCATAATAGTTCCATAAGACTATTATAATTCAATGCCGCTTCTCTCTCAGGAAAGACAGTGTAGTCACGTCTGGGATGACAGGGCTGGTTGGTTTTGATTGGGGTAACAAATGCATGTTTGGCCGTGATGTGCATTTGTGAATCTGAATGCTGATGTAATATTGTTTATTTTCATTTTGTTTGATCGTTTACCATTTGTTCGCCAGTTGCTGTCTGTTTTGCTCCCTCCATTCTTACCTAGTCAATATTTTATTCATTCTATAGTGTACCTGGCTGCCTGATCAACAATGGCGCCGCGGCTGGCTCGCTTGCGTCCTTCATTGACTCCACCTCTCCCACCAAGGACAACAACGACCTCTGAGAACCATATCTTCTACTCGTTGTTAGCATCCTAGGTTCACCGTGGTTCAGCTTGATGTTAACTACAATATTCGGCACTATTATTTATTTTATGGCCATTAACTCTCTCGATTCAATGGATGTTGATCAAACCGTGCAACTGAGCTCTTTCCCTACCTCTGTCTCTACCACTGCCAGCCCACCCTTTGAGATCGTTCATTTCAAGGGACAGGAGCTTCGTGTCTGCCATCCTGCTGAGCCACAGCCTGATGACACTCTCGTCCTGCCAGAATGATATGAACATGAAGAAGAAATATTTTATGTCAGATACCAGGACCTGTGCATAGACATTTTGTTCAATTTTTCTAGTTTGATTTACCCATCACATTGGGAATGGCTTGAAGCGAAATGCTCTCGTGCAAATTGCGAAGGATTGTGGCCTTTCCTCGCACCAGAACATGAATATTCTATGCAAAAAGATAATGGGATTTAGTAAAGACATGGTTCAATGGAAAATGTGTGTCATATTGACTTATCTTTCTTGCTTGGCTAATGCATATCATACCTTGAAGTCTTCTAGCAGGTGCTCGTCGGGCTCATCGTGGTGTTTGCAGTGGCAAAAGCATCGAGAATGAGTTGTCTAATCAGGACAAGAACAGTCCAACCTTGCAAATCAAGAAGGCGAAGAAGAAATTCTCGACGTTACGATGGAATGCTTTGATGGGTGTTGCAGCCAATACTTCTTCAGGACAGATACTTGTAGTGCAACGTTCAAAGGATATAAGGACACTTGAACAAAAAACCCAGCTATCAAAATTGGTATGTCCTCCATCGTTCTGCTAGTATTTAAATCTACTCTTATTATTATTATGTCAGGCAAAGAAATTCTGCGACACTCATCCTATATTCTGCTTGAAGAACTGAACCGCCATGCCAAAGCCAAAGCTGATGCTGCTAAAGTGCAATCTGCATCTGTAAGTCACCGCTGCTGAAGGAACAGATAAGTAGTTAAAACTGTATAGGCATTACTTAGTCAGCAAATGCAAAAAAATGAAAAGATTGATGGTCTGGCTTCAATAGTTGGTACCTTGGTGCAACATCTTCCTACTTTACTTTCCGCTCCATTCACTACCTCGGGGTTGCACTCTATGTCTTTATTGGGTGAGTTATTGTTCAACTCGTTGCCTGTAGTATCTCGAGGTCTGTTTTAGATTCCAACCTTCTCTCCACATTCAGGCCTGTATCTATGCAGATGAAACTTCGAATTGAGGGTGAGCAGGGAATTGTTTTAGAGACCCTCAGACCCTGATGTTTTCTCTAGAATCCAATTCGAGGGGCAACAACAATGGGATCATAACTGAAACTGCTATAGATCAAGAACCTGTGGCCGGGAAAAATGGTAGATCTCTGGTTGAAGCTGGCAACGGAATTACGAAGGGCAAGGATGGTGAGGAGACTGATGAGCCTATGCAAGAGACATGTGGTTTTTATGTGGGCATGAAGGACAATGTTGTCATAGCTGATGCAGAGGACTTGGCAGGTCATCGTCGCTCTTTGGCTTCCACTCAGGCTGAGGTAGTGAATGTTGTATCTCATCCAAAGGTCTCCGCTGAGGATTCTCCTGTGGAAAAGGGCATCACTACAATCAAGATTGCTCATGGGCGGTCGCTTAACTTCAAGAGTGCTGACATCCGTGACCCTTGCCCAATATCATTTGCGACCAACATTCCCCATCTTGAATGTGCATGGGATGATGAAGGCCCAAACTGGGACCCTGCCGACTGCGGTGTTAACCTTTTTTCAATTAACGGCACCCCTATCGCCCTTCGGTACTGGCCAGAAGTTTCTTTTTTGCTTTCCTTATTTCTCATATGGGCTTTAGTTTGTTGTTGAACGATATTGCTCAAGTACCGCTGATACTTTTTGGAAAGAGTTTTCTTCTGCAGATGGGAAACTTTTCAACTGGAAGAGGATATGTGAGACATTGCGGGTTCAACAAGCTGCGCATGAGCAGAATATTGTAGACAGGGCAAAAGCGGAGTATGGTGCTGACTTCGATAAAATCTTTGTGAATTGTGGAAAGGTATTAACTGATAGAACAGCTATTGCTTGTCGCTATTTTGAAAAACATACCATGGACCTCAATTAATATATCATCCAATTAACAACGACTAGGTCTATAATATATGTTCCACATACATAGTGTTTATACATTCAATCAAACTTTTATGCACAATGGCATGAACAATGAAATACAGGACAAACAAAAGCAGGTGGTTGGTTCCGGTTAAAAAAGTCATTGCAATCAACTGTGGGGTTATCGTTCAAAGAAATGAGGTATTTGACAATTGTCAAATGAGTAAACTCCTGGCTCCATCCACCCCACTCACAATTTTGACAAAGTGGCCACCGCCGTTCTACTGATAACCATTGGCATCCACCACGTTGAAAGGAATGAGTACCATAGGGAATGTGGTCAACTCCAATGTCGATAAGGTTATTTCGGAACATTTCCAAGAATTGCTCAGATGTCTATGAGGTGTCATTTCAGGTAACAATTGCCATAAACAAATGAACTGCAGTGACCATTGGCTCATTCTCCTCTGCAATTCAGTCGTTTGCACGTATTTTTTGAAAAAGGTAGCCATTTGTGATATCCAATATGACGATCCACCTTGCAAATGCACATACAACACATAGATGAGAATATTCTTTGGGCATTATCCACCAAACAAAAGGCTTGATTGCTTTGAAAATGATCAGATGAATGTCTTGACTATGTTTACAGTAGTTGATTATAACATACCTCCAAATTGACTAGTTTTTTGAAAGGGTAGTTGAAGAGTCAACTTCCACCGCCCATTTATCTCTTCGAATTCTATGTCATGAAGCTGAATTTTCGACAATTCATCTACATGGAGAAGTCTGCAGAAGGCAAGGCTGTAACCTAGGTTGAGTAGTGAACGAGCTCGGGTACCAGCCCAATCTTGTGAATTGACAATAAATCCTGCATCACATAGTGGTCAAATTGTCTAAGGTTTGATACAAAGCGACTTACTGAAGTTGCAGCATGCGCACTGGTTGCTGTCTCTCCTATTTAAGTGATTGATAACAAGTGAAGAACAATAAAGCTGACCTTATGATGACAAAGACTAAGCATATAGCTAGTCAGGGTTTCCCAACATTTTCCCTGTTGTTTCACTCCAGTTGCAGGCTTGCATGCCGAGGTCATGGACTCTTCCGAATCCAAATGTGGCTGCTGCTCGCATCTTCTGAGCATAAGTAAAGCTATGCTGCTCTATTGATGCATCTTTTTTTGTATTGTTCAGGTTGAGTTTGTCACAACTGGGGGGGGGGTTATTTCCAAGATATTGACAGTCATAGAAAAGGAGTTGATTGAGAGTGCTTTGGGCAAACCATCCGGCTCATATATGGCGGCTCACCTCCTATTTTGATGCAAGTCTTAGAACATGGTGGACATGCCTCAAGCAACAAACGTGTTTTGATTACTGCGTTCATCAGTATATATTAGAACACATTTTGTTGGTATAAGCTATCCTGAACAACAGAGCAAAAGGAATGAACTGAAAAGGTACAATGGTAGGGTTCCTCAGTAACAAAATTTAGAAGATCAAATTGCAGGATAAAATCTCCGAAAATCAGATAAGCAGTATTCTGGGCAAATTTTAAGGCTAAACCAAGCCTTGTCTAGATGATGGACTGGGTGTTGGTTTCTCCACAGATTTGAGCAGATAACAGAGGGGATTAGTGGAAGAGTGCTGCATGTTGAGGCCAGGAAAACAATTGAGGATCATCTACTTCAGCTATTGGGACCCAAAAGGAAATATGCTACAGTAGGCGGCTGCATCTGCAACAAGGATGAAGCCCACGAGAGCTGGAAAGCGCAGGAGATGTCAAGAGAAAAGGAGCAACTGGGATGGTAGTTGCAGGCATTATGGAGTCGTCTTGCATGGAGTTTCCAGCACCAATTGAAAGTGATTTGTCTTGTAGGTTGGGCATAGCAAAAGGATCGGACCCTGTTGGATAGTCTCTTCAGACCGGAGAGTCTAAAAACCAGTAAACAATGCACAAATCACATTGAACAGTTTGCTTACAACTGGAGGTATGCCGTCCTTGGTTTCAAGGCCAGGAGGGAGTTCATTAAGGTGGTGTTGCGGGGGGGTGCTAGTTTGATGAGAGCCAGCGAAGATTTTGCCTACGAAACCGGTAATACTGGTGTCTGCGTCGAGCTCTAACTGCTCTTCTGGTTCTTGGTCAGAAAGCTTGATGTCCTCGTATGGGTCATGCGGAGTCTCCTCTTACCCACGCCAAAAAAGTCTACATCATCCTCAGCAGTGTTTCCATAATTATCATCCCTGTCACTCTCAAACACTTTGCCACTTTCTTCCTCATCTCAAGAAAAATTCTACCACTTCGCAGTTTTCGTGGAAAGTGACAGTCTTATGCCATTCCCATTTGGTGCTGCTAAGTCTGGGACCGTGCATTTTCTTGGTAGCAAGAGATGGGCGAACAGGAGAGACACTACAGAGAGAAGGAATGCGAGAAGGAGGTGGAGGAACAGCTGGAGGTGATGCCTTTTTCTGTTTGAGATCAACATCACTGGAAGAGCTCACAGCCTGACAAAAAGTGCTCTTTGTAAGTGGCTCCTTGTGTATAAGTCCCTGAAACCTTCTCAACTGCTTCCTCTCTCTTTTCAATACAAAAGACCTATTGTTCTCGTTCTTGGCTTCGTCATGCATTAGCCATTGTGTATGACAAGATAGTGGACATAAGAAATCAGGAATATGAGAGGTGCTTAGACAGTGAATTAGATGCGAGAAGTGCATGGGATTTTGGTGGCAACAATGTTGTAGAAGCTGGTGGAGCTGGAAGAGGCTGTATGGAAGTCAACTGAAAACACTGCAAATGCGTAAAGCACAAACAGCACAGTGCCTTATTTCTTCCATCTATCTCTTCATTGCTATCTGCCTCAGAAGCTTTGTGAAACAACTTTGGTGTTAAATCCCTGCGTACCAAATCCCTGTGTACCATATGTTTGCGAACAGAAGAGGTCATGGAAGATGTACAGCACGTACCTCCAGGGTCATCCAAAGGGTATTGCATGCAAAGGTAGGTATGTTGAACTTGTGATAGCGGCATGAAAGAGTGGCAGGAAGCTTGTCCATCCTAAGTGACAACAAATTTCAGTGAGATATGGTGGACATTTAGAGGAGCGGATTGTGAGAGTACTGGGATAAGGATGGCTGAGCTTTTTTAGCATGCAGATATAGTTGCGAAATCTGAATATCCTCAGCTCAAAGACCACAGATCTTGGAAGGGGTGTTTTGACATTGTATTATGGACGTCAAGAAGGGGACACACCCAGGAAGTGTAGAGCCTCCGGACAGCCTCTCATTAAAATTGAAACCATTGAACATGCGCACAGTCATGCAGATATTCAAAAGCAATGTTTCTTGTGTAAGAATATCTAGGTGAGTATAACAATTGCATGAGGTTGAGATCGCCGAACTTCTCCTTGTAGCTTATATATCTATTAAAAATACTGTGATTGCGTAAAAGTGGAAAAAAGACTCACCGAGAACACTCTGTTTGCCTTTCTTCATCATCGTCTCGCCATCTCAATGATACAAGGGTGAGCTTTGCCAGTGTCCAGGACCTGAAATAGAGAGAAGACAACACAATTAATTCCTAATTCCTTGTCCTTTTCGAGCTTCGTACTCACCGTAAAGTTCTGGAACGGATGGGCCTCCTTGTTATTCACCAGCGTTGCCTGCAAATCCCTAAGCTCCATGTCAATCTTTTCCTCTGTCTCCTTTGCAGTAGAGACTTATAATGTGACAGCAGAAACATCTCAACTTGAGCCACGGGCCAAAAATCCCGGAATTGAGCACATATGGCTTTGGCATTGAAAGCCACAATCACCTTGATGTGCTTGCTAACATTGTGGTTAACGGGCTTGAAGTCCTTCAGCAGTTTCTCAGCCTCGTCCACAATAGCCTTGTTCTTCAATACAGAGCAATAGTGGGAGAAGCTGACAGTGGTTGGTTGGCTTGAAGAGGTTGTTTGTGCGCTAAGCTTCACTGTGGCATGTACAGAAAGCCTGGAGGGCGCAATGGTCTCTGCTCATGTTACACTGGTCAGTGTTTGCACAACCAGATTTTGGAATTCTGGAATGCACCCTTTCCTAGACCAAGAGAAGTGCAATACCGAGGGAGGTGCAAATGCAAGTAAACTCTTAGGTATGTTGACTCCAGTGAGGATGTCCCGCGCGCCTTGCCAGGTCTCAGAAAATCGAATACTCACAACCACTGCTGTGGCTTGGATGGAATGTCCTGTATGAGGGTGGTCTATTAGTTGAGTTTTATTTGGAAAAAGTAGCACCAGTACACACTTAGGGAAAGAAAAAAGAGATGTGAAAGAGGATGCAGATATTGAAGTGGTTCGGTGAATGCCATTTTTGGAGGGTCAAAGCTATTTAGACCACTTTAGCACTCAGCTTTGCTCACTCATGTGCATGTATGATCATAATCTACTATCTCCTATCTCTTCCTTATTCATATCCATGTCCATATCAAGAATCGTTGAGAGTACCATTGAAAAAAAACAATATCAATAGGGGTCAAAGGATTGTGGCCAGTAAGGACAAGATTGACTCTACCCGCTCATTAGCTTAATGTGATTTAGCTTATTCACCCAGCCGCATCTAGGCTGAAGCTCAAAGACCTCAATTTCGAATATGGTTTCATTAGAAATCATCATAAATTCTGGACACTGAATATTGGAGTTGATGCAAGGTGTGATGGAAATAATCAAGATTGTTAACATCCATTAACTCTGCTTTTGCAGTCTGTTGTTGAATACCTTCCATGCAGCTAATAGGGGTGAATCTCAGCACTCATTACACCTCTCTGATGCTACTCTCACTCAACTCCAATATTTCCTGTGTCAATTATCCGAAGCTGGCATCAACTGTGTATTTTTCTTTGATGGCCCTGAATGTTCCGCTATCAAGTGAGGGGTCAACATGTCATCAATAGAGAACCAGACTATCATAAGCACGCCAAAGCTCTAATAGAATGTGCTGTAAATCCTTTCATACCTTATGCTTTGTATTAGTATGTATATATTGATTTCATATCAGAAATTTCTTGCATACAATCCCAATCCCAGAAACTCCGAAATTCTTGTTCCTCAGCTTCAGGGTAGCCCCTATTTCAATAATCAGGGAAAACCATATGTCCCCACTCTCTCAACCATAATTCAGAACTGAGGCTTTTTGAAATTGAATGGAAAGGAGCCTAACAATGATATCTCTTGTTGAACGTGGCTATGCTATTCACATGCAACTATTATGATCATGTGTTATGATATGTTATATGTAGTCATATTTAGTCATTTACTATATGCGGATTCCTCAGTACTTCCTTATGTAATACTGTCATACAACTATGTATATGGACAGGCCATATCCTGTACTGGAATCCAACTCGCTTCTCTCTCACTCTTATTGCCTCTCTGAGATTATAAGTCTTTTTACCCAGGTATGGTGCTAGAGAGTGTCCCACTATGCACCCCTTGCCTGCCCAACAGGTTATGAGCCCCGGATGAACGCTTTGCTGAGCTCTAAGCTTGCAGTGCTCTCTGGTCTACTGTTGTCATTGATGCATCTATTTGATTGCTGTCTCTGACACAGACCTTTACCTGGAACATTGCTTCTGGTGCTGAAGTCAATATCACACCTAACAGTGCTGATTATGACATCGCCCAAGAGTGCTTGACACTGTAGATGACAGCTTGCAAGACATATGTTGCAGCTTGTCACTACTGGCAATAACATTCATGCCATTTTGTTTCCATCTGTTGTCTTGAGCGTTTATGAATTGCATGCTGACATTTTCTGTTGATTTTACCCAGATTACAATATCTTCTGCACTCTTCACCACTGTTACCACCACCCTCAAAGATGATAACTATGACACCTGGACCCCCGAAATGGAAGCCTTTCTCCAAGCCACAGGGCTTGGGTCAGCCATCACCTCTGACCCACCTGCCGAGCCATCTCCACTTGATACGGAAGACCTCAACAGTGTCAAAGCCTGGAAAGAATATGACAATTTGCTCAAATCCTGGAAGGAGATTGATTCTAAGGCTGTTGGCAACATCCGCCTCCGCCTTTCTCTGTCAATCCGCATCCTTCCTAAGGACGAGGGTGATATGGCTAAGAAGCTGTGGGAATTCTTGCAGAAAACCTACAAGGTCAAAGGTCTAGGCGCAGTCTTTGACAACTTTGCTGCTGCCATGGCTGTCAAGGTCCCATACAAGGGAAACCCACTCACAGCTATGACTGACATTGGCATGTTCTTCTCCCATATGAATGATGCTGACATTGGCATCCCTGCCCACCTTGAAGCTCTGATTCTTCTATCTAAGCTTCCATCACACTATTCTGTCATTGTCCAGACTATGTCTGAACTCGGTACTGGATGTGCGCAAGCACTCCATCCATCCTCCTAATGCTACATCTGTTCATCTCCACAAGAAGACAAGGATGGCCATCAATTGTGCTTGTAACATTGGCGTCCGTGCGACTGCTGAAGTCATTCGCACCCTTGAGCCAACTGGGCATATTTCGGAGTTGGACAGTGATGACGAACTTGATCCTCTGACAAAGCACACTCGTGCAATGTCTCCTGTGGATGATGTTGAGAATGGCAGTAAGGCACAAATTGCTCCAGTATTCTATATGAAGGAGTTGAGTCATTGCCTTATAGCACAAGGACACTTCCTACAAGATGGCAAAACTGTTTGCGGCAATGCAGACAAAGTTGACTTCTGGGACAAAGACAGTTTATTCCTGTCATTTGAACCACGAACTCATAGCGATACAATCTACATTCTAAGAGATTATTCGCCACAGCCTATGGCTGTAAACCTAGTGATCCACTCAGTGGACTACACTACCATGCATCGCCGTATGGGTCATCCATCGCGCAAAGCACTCACTCAACTGAGAAAACATGCAGAAGGTGTTCCTACCTTTAGCATTCCCCATGAGGAAGATCTCTGTGAAGGTTGTGCCAAGGGAAAGATGACTTTACGTCCATTTCCGGGCATCACGTCCCTTCCAGATTATTCACTCAGACCTCAAAGAATGGCCTACCATTTCGTACCACAAGTACAAGTATATGATCTTCTTCACAGATGACTATACTTCACATGGGTTCTACTGCCACTTAAAAAAGAAGAGCGGATCTCTTGTGGTGATAAAGCAATTTATTGCCACAGTCAAAAATCTATATGAGACCAATTGTCATGCCCTGTCCCAAAAGCTCCCCTTGTCACCCTCCTAGACATCCCAGAACAGCGTATCAGCTCCCTTACACCTCCCAAATAACCTCCCATCAACCTCCATGAACCACGGAACCCTAGCTAACCTCCCCACCAACGCTAACCTCCATCTGAAGCGACAGCTCCGCGACTCGCGTACGCCGCCGGACAATCCCCTATCAATTTAGCCTCATGGGTTCCGCACTTCACGCCAACCCCATTAGATGCTCGTTTATTACAATGTCCCATTACTATTCAGCCCACCTATATAAGTATCCTCTGTAACATAAGCGTCCCTAGCTTGGTATATTTTGAACACACACCCTTTTGCATAGGTCCAGTCCCTGTCCCTTTGTACCTGCTAACCATACGGATTTCTCTTTACTCTCTGTTTTACTACCTCTGTTTCTCTCAACTCTTGTCTATTGTCTCTGTGATTGTCTATACGATCCAATACACGCTTTTACTTCACGTCTAAGCAATCCGAGTGAGTTCCCGAGCTCCCCAACGCCTACCGCCTTGGTGAGCTAACCTCCCCAAACCTCCTCGAGCTCCCTAGCTATTCTATAGGCTTCAGGACCTCGATCTAGGTAACGTCGAAGCTACCCCTCACGTCGAACTACGTACTGCTTCTCCGTTACCACCTCCCACACTCGAGGACGTCCATCCTCAAGCCGAGCCCCCAGGGACCTACCCTCCCTGGCACATCCCTTCTCGGGAGCTTACACCCTTGAGACCCATCTACACATACGACCTACTCGATCCTATATTGACGTTCTAGCGAGTACAACTCCTACTACGCAATATTGTACGGTCCCGCACTCCTCCTTAACCTCCCTATGCCTTAGGGACCTCCCTGGACCTCCTAGGAACCCCTCAAGGGTCACCATCCCGTCGTTCCAGCCACTACTAGGTCATTCCCATCCTCGGTCGCGGTTCTCGTAGCTCCCTTCGAGCTCCAGCCTGCTCCTAGCACGCTACAACATAAACCTCCACATACCAAAACCTACCCTAAGACCTATTTTGACCCAGGTCTTACACTAATGTCAAGGAATGGATGTCTGACGGTGGCAGAGAATTTAGATCCACTTGATGAGTTCTTTAAGAACAAAGGTATCAAAGCACAATGGTCATCTCCTCATATCCACCAGCAGAATGGAAGAGCCGAAAGGTTTATCTGGACTATTATTGAGAAAAGTGAACCACAGCGCTTTCAAGCCTGTATTCCTGAATCCTGGTTGGAATTCTCTGTTGCACATGCTGTGTATGTGTATAACCACACTCCTATGCATCATCACGAATGGAAGACACCATATGAGATTTTGTACAACAAAGTTCCGCACATAGATCACTTGCGTGTCTTTGGCTGTAGCACGTACATCTTTCTTCATAAAGAAGTACGGGTAAACAAACAATCGCCCAGGTCAGAACTAACTTGGAGTTTCTGATGGTGGACACGGAAATATCTACATGCGGTCCAACAATGCAATGTTCACTGCTACGCATGCAGTGTTTGATGAGAAATTATTTCCTTGTTGTAAATCCTCAGAGTGCCATCGCTCTATGTGTCTACCAGATTGCAACCCAGATCCTAAAGATCCTATTCCTCCACCTGGTGATGATGATGTTCCCATTTTTCATCAACCTACTACTCCCCAAAGGAGACAGGATCCGGAGCAAAATGTTGCACTGCCTGTGCCAGCTGAACAGCCAGCACGAGATCCTATGCCGCCGCCACAACCCCGGAATGAACAACCTCCTGCTGAAGAACAGTTGAGATGTTCAGGTCGTGTGCAGAGACCACCTACTCATCTTACCGGTAATCCTAGAAGCAGCAGTAAGCTTCCTATGGAACAACAGGTAGAGAGACCAAAGAGGGATATTCAGAGACGCACTAAAGCTCCACAGCCAGGTAGCTCCTTGGCTGAGCAAGAACACCCTGAGCCAGAACAGGTTCCCGGACCTAGTACTGAGCATCTTACTCCTGAAAAAGGAGAACAACCTCCTGGTGACAAAGCTAACACCCTGATCAGACTATGTTGTGAAGGGGGAGCTGAATTAATATATTTTCTTATGGCTAAGGCCGTTCCCTTTGAGGGGAAGCTGAAAAGCTCTGAGAACGTCCATGAATGGACTTACAAGGACATTACTCACCTATCTAAGGCTGAGTGTGAGGAATGGCTTAAGGCCTGCCAAGAAGAGCTTGAAGCGCTCAAACGGCGTGGTACTTTTGAACTCATGGATCATCCAGCAGACCAAAAGGTCATTAAGAACTGCTGGGTCTTCGATGTCAAATCTGATGGTCGTAAGAAGGCATGCCTTGTTGTCAAAGGGTTCTCACAAATTGAAGGTCTTGATTATGACCAAGTCTTCTCTCCTGTAGTATGGTTTGAGACTGTTTAGACTGTTGCTCACCTTGACTGCGCTGAACAACGGGTATCTCACCGGACTCGATGTTCGAAATGCCTATCTATATGGCGTCTTACATGAGACTATCTACATGGAACAGCCTGAAGGTTTTCAAATCAAAGGCAAAGAGGATAAAGTTCTCTTACTGTGCAAAGCTCTGTATGGACTGAAACAAGCAGGGCTGGCCGGTTCTGGAAGCTTGCTCGTGATTTGCCTAGGAAGCTCACGTGTATCCTGACCCAACTACGAACCGGCCACATCCCTCTGCAGAAACACCTGCACCGCATCCATCGAGCGGACACACCCACATGCCCATGCTGTAAGCAGCGACCAGAGACAGTCTTCCACTACCTTTTCCAATGTCCTGCACACCGCAGAGCCCGCGATCGTTTCCGCACGCGTATCCCAAGAACCCAATGGAACATGAGCTCCTTGCTCACCTGCCGAAGCACCCTACCGCAGCTATTCCGCTACGTCGATGACATGAAACGTTTCCACCATATCATAGGTGACCTCCCGAGGCTCAAGGATGAGGACTAGGAAGATCAATGAAGACGTGTGGAGGATAGTGCCCCCCTCCCTGCCTCCTTATACTCTTTTTCCATTTCACCCACTAACTTACAAATTACTCCCTCCTACCTATATCTACCAGGCACATGCACAATGTCCGTGCTTAATCAAACCCTCGCAGTTAGACGGGTCCCCGTCGAGGCTTCCTTATGGAGCCTGACGTAGATGACAGTTTTCCCAACAAAGATACAGGTCCCTTTCCCAGTATGATAGTTCTACTACAGTACGATGTTCACTACATATGCACTAGCACACAGGTGAATAAACGAGATTCAAAAAAAAAAAAAAAACAAGCAGGGCTCGTCTGGTGGCGAACACTAGACTCATACATGAAAACACTTGGCTTCAAACACCTGAGCTCTGATGCAGGTATCTTTATCCGACGAGGAAAAGATGGCTCTCTAGTCATCGCCATCATCTACGTTGATGACGCACTCTTTGCTGGACCTGACAAGAAACTCATAGATTCCCTCAAAGGGAAATTCATGTCACATTGGGAATGCAGAGATCTTGGTGAAGCCAAAGAATTCCTTCACATGCGGATTACCCGTTGTGGCAAAAAGATTTATATTGATCAATGTGCCTACCTTGACAAAGTCCTTAAGCGTTGCAGTATGGAAAATGTTAAAATGGCTGATACACCACTTCCTGCAGGGTTCCAACCCGAACCCACCAAAGGCCAATCGAATTCCGCTCTTCGTAGCAAGTTTCAAATGGTTATTGGTTCCCTTCTCTACCTTATGCTGGGCACACGTCCTGACATATCCTTTGCTGTTACCAAGCTTGCACAACATGCAGCTAACCCATCTCAAAAGCACCTTAACAAGGCACTCTATATTTGCCGGTACCTTCTAGGTACTAGAACATATGCACTTTGCTATGATGGTGAATTGGGTATCGGTCTCAGCGCTTGGACTGATTCGGATTGGGCTTCCGATCCTTATACACGCCGGTCACAGACTGGATTTTTTATGAAGCTTGCCAATGGCATCTTCTCTTGGACCAGCCATGCGCAGAAAACAATCGCTCACTCGTCTACAGAGGCTGAGTATATGACATTGTCTGATTGCAGCCGTCAAGTGGTTTGGATCCGTAATCTACTTGAAGAATTAGGCTATAAGCTTGACGCTATTCCTATTGCTGGAGATAATCAAGGATCCATTTTCATGGCATCAAATCCTGTCACTAGCAAGCACTTAAAACACATTTACATCCGGTATCATTATATCCGTGAAGTTGTTGAATGTGGCCTTGTGCAAGTATTCTTCGTAGACGGCAGTAACAACCCTGCAGATCTTTTCACAAATAATCTTGGGCGTATCAAATTTGAGCTATTCTGCTCAATGCTTGGACTTGAGTTCTACTCGTCCAGCAATCCTTAGGCTGTCTGCCCTGCCTGACGCCTACCGCTATTGCTTTGAGCAAAGTACTTTACTGTGCTGCTCAGCAAGGGGGAGTGTTGAATGCGGCTATGCTGTTCACACATCACTAATATGGTCATGTGTTATCTTAGTCTCTAAAAGCTTTTGGTGAGTAATGCATATTATTATTATTAACATATTTTCTCATCACTCACTGGAAACCAAAAAAAACAGTTCTGCTTTTTTTCTTTGGTTGGGTGCAGAAAAAGATCCTGGAGAGCAGAATTGTGAGTGTAATTACTGTAATCGACAAACATGGATTTTTGAGTAAGGGTGGGTCACAGGTTTTGAGAAGAGAATATCCCAGATTGAAAAGAGGATGTCCTGTGTGGATGTTGAACGCGGCTATGCTGTTCACACATCACTAATACGATTATGTGTTATCTTAGTCTATGCTTAGTATACACTGACATCATATACCATATGTGGATTCCTCAGTACTTCCTTATGTAATACTGTCATGCATTTATGTATATAAGTAGCTACGTCCTGTACTGGAATCCAACTCGCTTCTCTCTTACTTTTATTGCCTCACTGAGACACTAAGCTCTACTACCAGGTATGGTGCTGGAGAGTGTTCCCACTACGCACCCCTTGCCTGCTCAACACAGTCCACAACAGTGGAGCCTAGTGAAGACTAGTTATTGAATTACTTGAAACTAACTCAAAATTTGCAATCCAATCTTGAGTGGAGCCAGAATGCACCCTGAACGCACCTGAATGCATGGAACGCAGGTGAACGCAAAGATCAAAATTGAACGCATATAAGGTGAACGCACCTGAACGCATATGGACGCGACATCAATTCATCAAATTTGCATTCATACATTGATTGCATTCCCAGTTTACATAAATATTGTTAAATTTCAATATTTTGACTGAAATGTTACTATTGTTCCACTAATCTACTACATATTGTACAGTCTATGAACACATTATGTATAGTTATGTATAGTACAATTGATGTAATTAATACAGGGGTTTGCATAATTTCATGAACAACCGAGTTTTTTTCTTTTTACGGTCTGAATATATCCATTCCTAACCCGGAATATCTAAACGTGATGTGACTGTTTCTCGACCCCATGAGACCCCATGCCTCCTCAAAAAATGTATCCATCGATGTTATACTGAAGACACTACTGAAATAACAGGACATAGTAAGAGTGTGGAGAAAGTATCACAATGAGGCTTTGAATACAAAAAGAACAAGGAAAATTGTCACTCCAAACACACACAAAATTCTTGATAGTACATTACCTTATATGGATCAACACTGTTCCAACAAAGTACTCAAGGTCTGCATGAAGGACCTTCTGGATACAGGATTTGAAGATATCAAGGTGATGTATGGGCACTTGTAGGGCAGAACTGTTACAAGCCTGAGGCATAGGTATAGAGGAAGGAATTGCATAGTTAGAACCCCGTCACATCACGCAGCTGATAAGATAGGATATATTCGGACTGCAAAAAAAAAAAACTCAACTTGTTCATGAAATTATGCAAACCCCTGTAATTGAACACTAAAATCATATTATTATACATAATATAATAAATATATGAACACATATGAACGCACAAAACGCAAATGTGAATGCAGAACGCACTGACGGAACGCAAAATTCTACCTGCCGCCCTCTACAACCAGATGACATATGTCATTACCCACAACAGGGACACTTCCGATTGCTTCCAGGCCATGTGTGGGGTGCTGATGGGTGACCCTTCCTCTCCCACACTGTGGAACATCTTCCTCTCAACGTTCGACTTCATTCATGACCCCAATGACCTCGACCTGCTGGGAGCTGTGATATCCCATCTCAAATACGCTGATGACATCGCCCTGATTTCATGCTCTACACACGGCCTACAGTCCCATTTGAGAGGCTTCAAACTCTACTGTCACTCCAACAACCTCACCATCAGCGCTGGCAAATCCTGGGTCATGGTCTTTGGCCACCTGCCTTCACTGCTGCCCATTCTCTTCCTGGGTGGTGAAGCCCTGTCATTCCGTCACTCGGTATGCTACGTTGGTGCTCACCTCCAATCCACACACCGTCATCTACTTGCGGCACACTTCACGGTCAAGCGTGATTCCACATTCACCGCTGCAGGTGGCATCGCGGGATGTGACCTCCTCATTGGACACCAACGGCTCAACCCTCCAATAGCCAAGCAACTCTACCCTGCTCTTGTGGACTGCCATCTCATCAATGGCTGTGAAATTGCAATCGACACCAATGCTCACTTATTATCCATGCTCAAGCAAATTCAACTGCTCTTTCTCTGCCGCATGCTTGGTCTATCCCGTTGTTCCATTCTTGCACCTCTCTTCACAGTGACTGGTATCATGCCCATACATACCCGCCGTGTCATTCTTGCCCTTTGCTACCTCATTTACCTTCTAAAACTCGGACCGGAGCACTACACTTACCTTGCGCTGCAGGAGAACTTCAACCTTTGAAACTCCGGCATGAAATGCTGGCTTTCAAATGTCGACTAGGCAATTCACCATCTCCCTTCTTCCACTCTCTCCCTCCCCGCATCAGCACTACTATCCGAAATGTCACTTCGCACTTATCAATTCCATCTCCAAGGAGTCCGACACCTATCTTCAGTCCCAAGTAGACATCAGCCATTGTCTGGCATTACTCCATGGCCGTCTTGAACCACAGAAAGAGGGCCCATCAAAATATATTGCTTGGACACTCTGTCATTACCTGAGCCACATCCGAAACCATTCCCACCGCCATTCTCTCACCAGACTACTGTGTAGAGACATGGTTCCCCTCACTTTCCAGTCATCGCCTGCAAGAATTGACCCCTTGCTACCAACAGAGGTGCCCACAAAACAGTGCCGGTCATGTCAGTCACCCTTCCACCCAGAATCCCCTCAATATATCTTCCTCCAATGTGCTGCAGACCACACAATTGTTGGACTACGGACTGCCTTTCTTGATGACATATCGCCCTCATTCCCTCTTCCTCATAATTGCCTATTCTCAAACTTAGAAGCTCTCTACTATCTCAAGCACTTCATCTTCAATACATCCTCCACCTCTTGTACTGCACACTTCATCCATGAGGCTGCCGTACACTGGACATCTCTGCATCCTCCTCTCCCTCCTGCTGAACAGAACAATGACCATACCGCGAGTGGAAGCGTGGGTGGGGACACGACATAGCCTGATCCCGATTCTTCGTTCATCCCCTCTGCCCGGTGTCACTTTTCTTCATTGACATTTCGATGTTTTCATCATTCGCATTACTACCTCTGTATAACTGACTGCAAGACTGTTTCTCGTATTTACGCTCTCTGTAATACTCTCTCCTGTTTTCATGCTTTTTCGTACACTCAATCTCATACCCGTACTCTATTTATGAGAACTCTATCTCATACTCTTTACTCTCTCGTACTCATATTCTTGCTTGACCTCTTCTCGTTTCTTTCTCGTACTCTTGCTTGACCTCTTCTTGTTTGCCACTCTCTCACTCATGCGTGGTACGTCGGCAGTAGTCTACCTTCCCTCACTGCGGGTTAAGCTCGCTGTTGTTGTCCTACCATAACCGGCTGTTCACCTTGCTTGCTAGGTCCTTTGCCACCCCATCTTTACCAAGCGCCCGTGCATTTTTTTTTTACACACTAGGCGCTTTAATTAGCTCGCTCCGATGTATTTCTTCTAATCCTTGTTCATGCACTCATACACTACTTTACCTTTTGTTACCATACAACCTTTGGTTTGATTGTGAATGTGGGTTGGAATTCATGAGAATGCAAGCAAGGTTTATCGTGCCCCGCAGGGGTTCACTAGTCCGAGACGGGAACCCGTCTTTCGAGATGGTGCCGTGTATTTATCTATCTATCTATCTCCCTAGCGCTAAATTGGCGCTTGATCTCGATCACATGACAATGTGCATGGCACATGAACTTCTGACGTTATGTAACAGGCAGAACTTTGACAATCGGCAACGCCTATGCACAAGACCGTTCACTGGAGCTCTCAGAGTCCTGACAGGCTCTCCTTCCCTATCCTGTGAAGACTCCTTCCTTCCAACCTCGAGTCTTCAATATGTCAATTCTCAGCTGGTAGCTCACGGATTCACCACATCTTCGGGACTCTCTCTCGATGGCCTGTCTAAAGGAGAAATAGACAGGGCTGTGAAATGTTTTCTGGACTTGCTGGCTCAAAGGGTGGTGAGTATTGATTTGATCTGGATTTCTCGTGCAATCTTTGAAGGCTTTGTTAGAAAGATATGTCGAGGACAGAGCACCTGTCAGCTGAACTACGAACTCTTCGCTATGACCACGAACAAATGGTATCAATGCATCGCACAGCCACAGAGTCTGCGGCAAATTTCGAGCGTGAAGTGCACTTACAGAAATCTCGTCTTGCGTGCGTTCCATTCTCGTTTATCTTATTGTATCTTTGACAGCCTATTTTTTGAATAGGACTACGAGAAAGACGTTGCAGGCGACTGAAGCTGCACACAAACATACTAACGCAGAATTGCAGTGGACACGCTCTGCCCTGCAGACCATTCGAGCTACCCACCAAGCCAAAACAAAGAAGAAGGAAAAGGAGATTGAACGTGCTATGGAGAGGTGGCACAGGATCTCTGACGCTCAGGCAAAACTTGGCGCTACCGCTAGTGGAAAGCACTTTATCGGAAGTGTTAAAACCGCCGTTGAACCAGTAGTTCCGATTGTCGGGAGAGGAAAGAGATACCTGGAAATTACGCTAGAGGAGGCTGAGAAGGCACGCGAGCAGTTAGGCAAGGATAATCTCAGTTTGAAGAAGATGCTCCTCAAGGCTGACAACGAAATCAGAAATATTGCGTTTGAATTGACGCCAAGTTTGCAAGAACCCACTAATGAGATAGAAATTGTGCATTCTTGCAACACCTCGTTCTTCATACCGGCCTGACTTTTCTCATTGGCAGCCTGTACCTATTACACTCCCCGATCTATTCCCTCTGTCGCCTCCAGACTTTACCACCATGACGCTATCATCCTCGCTTGCGCGACTCCGAGACAGTCTCGGAGTGCTATCCTCTTCCACATCTTCGATATCAACTTCACCTTCCGTCTCCCCCGCACCGCAGCCTTTACCTTCTCCGTCTGAACTTGAACAGCTGCATCAAGTCATTGAGCAGCTGAGGAACGAACTCCGTGATTATCCTTAAAAGAAGTTTTTTGATCCTCTGGACTGATTTCACTCTATATCCAGATGATTCAACAGAGCAAGTAGCTTTACAGGCTGCGGAAAATCGATCGGCAGATCAACCTTCAAGCACCATGACAATACTTGCTCGGGACGACAAACGCCAACATTCAGCTGTCTCCGAAGCAGAGGAGCGAAAGAAGCTTCCTCAAATGCCAACTCAGCCTGGAATTGGGAAAGAAAGGCTCAGTATTGAGGTATGTGCTCCTGTCACCTTCGTCTCTGGAGTCTGACTATTTTCCCATTTAAGATTGGCATGCATCCCAAAGAGGAGAAACCTTCTGAGAAAGTCCGAAACATGTTCGCAGAACTTCCTCTCACTCGAGATGATTCAGATTCACGTTCGGAGAAAATGAGTGCATCCAACCAAAGGTCTTCCCCACGAACACCTCATTCACCGTCCAAAAGGTTCCAAATCAACATCGGCAAAGCTACCAGAAGAACCACACGGGTTGGCTCTACGAGGAGACGATCCTCGTCATCCTCATTTTCATTTTCTCCATCTCAAGGCAGCAAGGACGCAGAACCAGCTTTCGAAACAGAGGTCATCCCCCGCCTACCACCCCCACTTTCCATCGGCGCGTCTATACCTCCTTTGATGTCCACCAGCTCGAGCACAGAATCCCTGCTCCCGACTGCATTCGTGCTACCTCCACCATCTCCTTGTGCATCCTTGCCGCCTTCAAAGCCTGCTCTTCTATTATTGATTCCACTCTACCGCTGCTTATGCCGACATTTCAAATGACACAAGAACAAGAACCGTGTGAAAATAACAGATTTCTCTCAACCTTCATTACAATCTCATGTGCCACCATCTGCAACCCCAGCAGATCCAGTGGATTCCGTTCCACAGACACCCTTCGCCGGAGCTCATCGAACATTCCCTTACCCAGTCGCCAAGCCTCTTGCCATGCATATGATTCACGCATATTCACCTGTGAGACCCAGTCCACTAAGCCGCATTCTCATGCTAGGGAACTCTCCAGGGTCGCCTATCTATATTACTACACCTCTATTACCGGTCTAGTTCCTTTGCACCTATACTGGCCTAGGTAGTGAGTAGAACACTCTACACAGTGAGTAGGATACTCTACACAGTGAGCACAACACCCTCTCATCACTCTACACAGTGAGCTCACCACTACTGTTGCCCACAGTGACCTCCACACTGTGCTCAATGCTGCTGCTCATTGCCATACACAGTGAGCTCAACACTGTATACAGTGTCCTCAATGTTGTCTCAGACAGTGACCTCAATGCTGTCCACAACAAGCTCTATGCTGTCCTACACAGTGAGCTCAGCACTGTATACAATGAGCTGGTCATTGTCTTGGACAGTGAGCTAGTCATTGTCCTCCACAGTGAGCTCAACACTGTATGCAATGAGCTGGTCATCATCTCCCACAGTGAACTCAACATTGTCAGACACAGTGAGCTTGTTGTTGCTGTTGTAGACAGTGAGCTCGATGTTGTCATAGACAGTGAGTTTGTTGTCATCGTTGTAGACAGTGAGCTCGACGTTGTCAGACACAGTGAGCTTGTCATCGCTGTTGTAGACAGTGAGCTCGACGTCATCATAGACAGTGAGCTCATTGTCATCATTGTAAACAGTGAGCTCGATATTGTCATAGACAGTGAGCTTGTTGTCATCGTCGTAGACTGTGAGCTCAACGTTGTCAGACACAGTGAGCTTGTCATCGCTGTTGTAGACAGTGAGCTCGACGTCGTCATAGACAGTGAGCTTGTCATTGCTGTTGTACACAGTGAGCTTGACGTCGTCGTAGACAGTGAGCTCATTGTCATCGTCATAGACAGTGAGCTCATCGTCATCATCATAGACAGTGAGCTCGACATCGTCATAGACAGTGAGCTCGTCGTCATCGTCGTAGACAGTGAGCTCGACGTCGTCATAGACAGTGAGCTTGTCATTGCTGTTGTACACAGTGAGCTTGACGTCGTCATAGACAGTGAGCTTGACGTCGTCATAGACAGTGAGCTCGTCGTCATCGTCGTAGACAGTGAGCTCGACGTCGTCATAGACAGTGAGCTCAATACTGTCCACTGTCAGCCCAGATGTCCATTTTACGTATAGAATTGAAAGTGATTCTATACGTAAACGTCTCTGAGATTTTACGTACAGAATTTTGAAAATTCCATACGTAAAATTTTTGGCTTGTTCGATTCTTGACCAAGTTTTTCCCACGGGGGTCCAAAAAAGCGCACTTTTATAGCCTTCTGACATAGCTTTGCACATCAACTCAAGTGCTCAGCACTGTACACAGGGAGCTCAACACTGTATACAGATAGCTGAACACTGTACACAGGGAGCTCAACACGCTGCTCTACACAGTGGGCCATGGAAAGCTCCTTTCCCATTGCTGTGCTATACATCACTGTGTATAGCAAGCTCAACACTATGTACATTGAGAGACATCTTTACATTAGTGGAGAATATACTCCGATTCTGGTCACGCACTTGTCACCATTAGACTCGCAGTACAAAAAAACCTAGGGTCACCCACCAGTATCATTGAAATTGGAGCACTGGTTGACCCGCAAGTTGCAATACTAGTTTGTTACTTGTTATTTTGTTTTGCTTATAGCAGCGTGAATACTTCGGCGCACAACGTCGCAGTCACGTGCTTCACCTCGCCTCTCTCCGCTCTTCATTTTCAATTTTCGATATTTTCCGTGAAGCGTGGGAACTAATTTCCGTTTTTAGTGCGCCGCTCCGAGTTTTCCTCTGGGGCGCTTTTCAGAGTCATTTATTGCCCTTTTAGGCAGTCAGACGCTTATTGCTCATTATGGTAGGGCGCTTGTTTTTATGCCTTATTAGGGTGGCCCAGCGCTTTATTGCTATTTCAAGTAATTCCTGCAGTTTCTGCCATGTATGGACATTCTGCCTTGAAAGACTCATAGAGGGCGCATTTTTTGACCTTATAAGGAAATTCTTGAAGATTTATGATCCTGGGACCCGCCTCTTCATTTTCATTTTTTTCTTCATTGGCGGGTAGCGTGGGAACTTAGGCACAGCCACACCTCGGTGGAGCCAAAACTCGGAGTGCACACTTGGATAAGTTCTGAGGAGCCCCCTCCTGCACAATGAGAACTTGGACATGCTGTTGAAGGTACTGATGCACTTGTAACTACTGCATACCTGATGGAAAGGTATTGGTAATGGCTTAGACTGGGGCTCCAAAATAGCTTCTTATAAGAGTGGAATACAGGTGTTTGAAGTAGTGGAGTGTATTAGTGCTGCAACAGATACAACTTGTGTGTCGACGACTGGACGTACTTTCTATACACAAACTTTTTACGTATAGGTTTTGGTTCAATTCTATACGTAAAGTTTTAGAGGTGGATTCTTTTTTTTCCAATATTTCTCCAGCCATGAACCAGTTAGTGAAGGTGCCCGAGATGACCACGCTGACTAAGCATGTTGTGGCATTTACAAGTGTTTTGACTTGTGAAACAGATAGGTATTACATATCACCAAGTAACATCTGAGCAACCTCCCACTCTTCCAATTCATCTCCCAGCCCAGCTTCAATAGCCAGAGTTTTCCAGTCTGCCAGAACAGTCATGAACCAGACCACAATCTCTTCCTCAACAACTCGAACAGGGCGGGGTTCCAATACAGTATGTTCACTGTTATGGAACATTAGTGTGTGAGTTCTAAAGAAGGATGTTGTAGCTCACGTGCTACGGACCCATTGCTGGGTAATCTCCATGATTGAATGAGCATGATTACCACTCCAATGGAATTGGAGGATGAATGGTCTTGGGCCCCAACGTAGATCATAAAGGACAACATGACGACGGTCAATACGACGCTGTGCGAAGAAGGCTTGGATAACTGGAGGGAATTGTGAAACAACTTGGTGTGTAAAGACGAAGAGCATGTTGAGTAATGGTTAGATGCTTTTGAAGGTGAGGGGTGGGGGTAAATTGAGGGGGATAGAGAGCTGTTATATATGTTTGAGGGGTGATAAAGATCAATGACAGCGTGTGATTTGAGTAACAATGGCAAGGATATGATTGGGTAGAGATTTGATAACAAGTGAACAGTGCTCAAGTTTACATACAGAGCAATTATTTGGAATGGGACATGGGAATGAAGCATCAGTATTGAGGATTGATTGGTAGTTTTGGTAATGATTGCAACAGTTGGAGCAAGTACATTGACATGGAAGTCAGATGACAGGTGTGAAGAGAAGAGGTGTAAGACAAGTGAGTTTGATGAAAGGGGTGACAGAGTGTTGGTGAACCCCGGGGAGTATGAACCGCATGGGGGGGTGCAATGAAGTTGATGTGGCAGAAGAAGTCAAGTAGTGAATGCAATGGAAGGTGAAAGAATAATGAAATTGTTTGTTGAAGAACAAGAAGAGAGAAAGTGGATGAAGAAAGGATAAGATAGGAAAGGGGTTGAAATTTAGTTTGAGTTGAAATAAAAGTGGGTTGGGTGACGTCGGAGGGGTTAGGGTTAGGGTTAGGGGTTAGGGGTTAGGGGTTAGGGGTTAGGGGTTAGGGGTTAGGGGTTAGGGGTTAGGGGTTAGGGGTTAGGGGTTAGGGTTAGGGGTTAGGGGTTTAGGGTTGGGGTTAGGGGTTAGGGGTTAGGGGTTCGGGGTGAGGGGTTTAGGGTTCGGGGGTTCGGGGTTCGCTCTCTCCCCCCCACCCCAGGCGGCGGCGGCCCCGAAGCAGCTCCCCC